CTGAATTACACACAAAAAAAGACAGTGATAAATGAGGAGCACATAAAGTGTGATACCATACAAAAGTATTAACTTGAGTTGGCATGCGTAGCAATATCCTAAATGCTACAACTAATCATAATGTGGAAGTAAGATATCACATTTTCTTTAGCTTTTCCTCGAAGCTTTTCAATGTAAAGTTCCTAATTCAAATACATCATGACCATCTTTAGCATTCTCAAGGGTTCACAGACACACACTCACTCATTCATATTCGCGAGCGCACGCATGTACACACATTCATATATATCATAATCACCAAAATAAGAATATCCCTAAAATCATCAGAGGATCATATCGTCACACTTTAAATGTGTTTGTGCACTAGAACCAACACTTCAAATCGTCAGCGGAGACTGTCATGCAACTTGTGAGATTCTCAAACTGATAAAGATCCAGTAAAGCTACAAACCTTTTACAGTGACTTCATAAAGCTCCTCTTTGAAGCAACTATTTAGCATGGGATATTTAGTAAAAGCCATTGAAAGGGACTTCAATAAGAAAGGAAGAAAAGTGTGTTTGACTTCTGGATCAGAGTTTGCCTTCTGGAATGATCTTTTGAGCTCTACAAGTGCATCACAATTTATCTCTTCAATATAATGAAAATGAGGAATTTTTGCAGCCAGGGTCATTGATTTAACCATAGCACGTTGAAATCCCCTGCAAGGTAAAACATCATGAGAAGCTGATTTGTCAAACAAGTTTCATGGTGGTCTAACCATCTTGCATAAGAGAAGATCAAATGCTTATATTGAGCTAAAATAAGAGCTGGGTACATAAAAGAGTCAGTGCTTTGGCAAAATGTATAAGTCTGCACGTGTAAAAGACTAAGAGAGAGAGATAAAGCAGCGAAATGGATTTTAAACACCCACCCAATTTTTAATATACTCTCTGTGAACGATCAAGATAAGAATGATTTCAGAGAGTCTGTCATTTGCAGTGATACTGGGTACTCCGGTACTGAGATATGATATTTGAAAGCATGCTATACCTAGCACATTACGCTTTATAGTTACTCAGAGGTGCTAAATTGTGTCTACCAAAGCCATGACTACACAGCATTATAAACTTTGATCATGTTCAATTCTTTGACTATCTTCTGTAATTGAGTGAAAAGCAAAAATAAAAAAGGTAAACAGGAGAGGACTACTATTCCATAATGAGAGTGATTGCTGGTTTACTACGTTCATAACAAAATTGTTACTATTCCAAAGGGTAAACAACCTTAGGGGAATTGTTGTGTCTTCATAACCCAACCCATGAGAAGCTGAAATGTCAGGGTATGTGATGTCCACACTGTGTAATTGGTCTGCAGGATTTGGGAATGCTTGTGAATTAACTAAGGTTCCTCTGTGGACCGCTGCATAGTTTAAGACATCCTCTTTAAGTATCCGTCCATCCTTTCCAGTTCCAGGGACAACATTTATATCTACACCATACTGCTTTGCAAGAATACGGACAGCAGGAGTGGATAACACTCCACCAATCCTCGAATTTATAGCAGCAGAACTATGATCATCTATGCTACTTGACACACTATTAATTTCTTTAACATTTTCAGAAATGTCTACAGCCTGAGTAGGAGCTGAAATTCTATCCACAGCAATTTTCAACAGAGTCTCTCCCACCTGCAAAATCACGTGATCGCATATTCTTACGTATTTAGGCACTTTGACTGGAAGCCACAAGCAAAACAAACAATCCCTCTTTCAAAATAGTCACTTTTATTTGTTCTCAAATAGTTGTTTTACACCAAGATTTTACCTATTACATTTTCCCATTCTAAGCTTAATTACTATGGTGTTATCTCCCACCTTATACAGCATATACTCAAGCTTTCCGGATTCCCAGCCTAACCTTCACGATGTTCCCGGGAACATGAAGAATGCGAGAAATTGTTCCCTTGTAACGACTTGTTATTTCTATGGTAGCCTTGTCACTCTGAACTTCACAAAGTGGCTGAAAGTCTTCAACTTGGTCTCCCTGAAATCATATTAACTGAGTACTGCGTAATAAAAATCTGAATCTTGTGGATGATTCCATCGTCTTTGCACTTCCAATACTAGCCTAACCATAATAGATGCGAACATGTGTAAGCATATCAAGTAATCAATCACGGTCGCTACAACTTACCTCCTTAACAAACCATCTTATAAGCTCGCATTCAGCGATCCCTTCACCAGTTTGTGCTAAAGGTACATCTAGTATTCCACCCTCTGGGTCAACAACCTGAGCTTGAGTTGAAAAGCAACAGCCTTTCAGGCCAAATGTAACTTTCAACTGCCAAAAAGAAAATGGATAACAAAAAATCAGATTTTGGTATCAATAGGCGTAATAGCCCCCAAGAATTGGATTTGAATTGTCGGAGTTCTTCCTTCACACATACAAATAGTTGATTCTATTGCCTCGCGAGGTCTCGGGGAAAAAACTGGACTGACCAGAAATGCCATTGAGGAAATTTAATCAAATTAACAAGAAGGCATAGCTATCTTTTTTTTTTTAATTGACAAGCAGGCATAGCTATCAACAAAAGAAAAATGAGAAACTCACAGTCGCAAGCCTACTGAAGGAGCTAAACGACGTCGCGGAACATCGAGCGGAGTGGGCTGGAGAGTAACATACGGCAGCTGGAACGATCGTCCATGCTTTCCGCCCACCAGAAGCTACCGGGGACGGTGAAACACTGGTAAGAGAGAAGAACCACCGCCGGTCGGAAAAAGATCGTATCTTTTTCCGACAAATTTGTCGGCAAAGCATCATACAACAGTGAGAGGGGGCGAAGTATTTATCTATCAAGTTTCTTTGAAATGCCTTCCATTACCGTTCGATCGGAAGAAGCGCAGAAGATAAAGATTGATGGAACTTGGCGCAAGGCGTCGTATGTAACGACAGGTAATCGGCCTCGTACAGTTGTCGTACACCAAATCCCAACAGCAAATTAATTTTTATCGTACTTCACATGAAGGGAGTGGGTGAGTGGGTTTTTGGGAGGCGAGGAGTATGGTTACCCTTACCCACCCCATTGTCTCCTCCATACGGAAGCAAAGGAAGAAAGCAGCATTTGGACAGGGGATCTTCTCCTGGCAGGGAAAAAACTTGACAAAGAAAAATTAAAGAACCGATAAGTAGTTCAATCGGACGGTTCAGATTATTTCGCTACCGTTTGAACTTTGGACGGGAGAAGAAAACTCCAGCCGCCCAAGGTGAAATTCAACGGTTAAAATATTCGTAAGTAATTTTAATATGTAATTATTTCTTCATTTTAGTTATAATTATGTAACTATATTTTAAAATAATGTGTTTTATTAAATAAGTTAATTTAATTAAATAACAACTTTTTCACACTTAAATTTGGGAAGTATTAAGGGGGAAAATGAAATTAAAAAATAAATATTTATAAATGAAATATGTTGAGTATATAATATTGACTTTGTTGCATTGCATCAAAAATCATATTGATAGAGTGTGGATTTTATATTGATGTGCAATTAATTTTGAACTTTGTAGAGTAGTTAAAGAAGAAAGAGATAAGCATTGATCGAAAATGAACTGGTACTTTTTCATTGGACTTATATTGATCTATAATTATGAATCTTCTAGAATAGTTAGAAGAAGAAATAGAAAGGTATTGATCGAAAATGAATCAATACTAGTTTACACTTGACATATGATGTACGGGAGTACTTATATACGAGTAACACAGTGGCCTTGCAAGACAAATCAATCAATAACTAACTAACCAACTAATTACATGATGATTTCATCCTAATGATTAATAACTACTTATAAGTGTTTATCTGTATATTCCCTCCTTTCATTAGAGTCAGGTATTTGAAAAGGCCCTAACTTGAAAATGCTGATGATGCTTTATGCCTAATATTTTGGTAAACACTTGAGTAAGTTGAGAGCCAAATGAAATGAACTGTGGTTGCAATAGTCCCTCGAGAAATCTTTCCCTTATATAATGATTGAATAGATAAATGTTTAGTTATTATGAAAATAGGATTCTAAGTATAGCAACCATTGTGTCAAAGTATATAACGAAATAGGCAATGAAATGTGAACGTGAAACTTTGTTAGTGATCCATCAAGCCAAAAAACTTCACCTCCAATATAACTCATGCTCTTATAATACTCCGTAAGATCTTGCGGTTTGTTTGCTAATAATTTTCTATTTATACGTTTTCGAAAAATGGGTAGTTTCTCTTGAAAAGAGGATGACTAAACACTCTGAGGGCCCTTAATACCGACCAAACATTTTTATAGGATGATGTAAGTTGCACGTTGATCACGCTCTGATGGAAAGAGAGTAAAGTTTAATTCCACATCATTGCTTGGAGTTGAATCGACGACTTCTGTTTTGTGGCACCCTCTTCCTACATTTCTACAAAGCGAGCTACGCCTCCACCCCCACTAATGGGTGGTTTTCTCGAGAAACTACACCAAGCATTTTAGCAATCTACATCTCCAATACGGCTCGTTATTTATGGATTCATTTTAAATTTGCCGCATTCTTTTCTTATATACAATGCCACTAAAATTGTTATTTACGGATTCATTTTAAATCTGCCGCATTATTTTGTTATATACAATGCCACTAAAATTGTTTCTAACTGAACCTACTCGTGAGTCGTGATTGCCCTATTTAGGTTCAAAAAAATGAAAGGACAGTCCCCTCACCTCCAACTCTTAAAGGTTTGGATGAGAAACATATATTATTCCAGCGTGACTAAAACAGCTACTAAAGCAAGCAAATCATCATCATCATTGTCATCATTACCCCAGTGGCCCAGTACCGTAAAGACTCTCACCTACACTGGAGTAGGGGGGTCAGATGTACGCAATCTTGTCTCTGTACTAAAGCACAAAGATACTGTTTCTGAATAACCCAATGTGAAAATCGCATCAAAATTGCATGAACTGTCTGTTACTTCACAACAAAGAAACGCAGTCTACACAGACAATTTATTGAGTCATTTTGATTTATTCCATTATATTTCCAAGCCAAAAATAGTGAATTGTTGACTCCATTGCAAATGATGGATGTACTAAAGCAAGCAAATATGATAGAAAATTGACATGTGATCAAGCTAAGCGGCAACAATAGCCACCACTGCACAAGTTCTTTTTACATTTATAAAGACGCAGAAACTAGGATGGAAACCATCCAATGAAGTTCCATTACTGAAATCACAAATCAAATTATTTATACATTAACTTCCAGATAAATGCTTTGCACTTTAGTTGAGCAATAAATACATTCGACGGGCAAGCTGTTGCACCAATGTTGTTATCTTCGTTGCAGTCATCTTCCCAGTCAATATCATAACCAAGCTCAACCAGACTTGAATAGAAGTACAGCTTTTGTATCCAAGTAGAAGTAGACAAAGTGGTTTGTTTCATGTGTTACATAAGACCCTGGAGGGAAAAGAAAAAAAATATAGTGATATCCCATTTGATGTCGGATCATTTCATTATCAATCACAGGGGAGAGGCAAAATATAATGAATTTGAGCTGAGAAGGGAGAATTAGATTGTCACGCTATGGTCTTATGGTGAGACATATTTCCAATTTGCAGTAAGTGACTATTACAAACGGAAACAAAGAATGATTCACTTTTACAAGAGCCCTTCTGCCCTCTTATCTAAGCAATCACTTCCACAAAGCCTCATTATGAAATCTTGTATGAAGTGAATACACTTAAACTTCCCCTTAAAGAATAACGTCAATGGCCTTGGCCCTTGATCATGTCAATTGAGCTCTCCAAACTAAGAATGATACAGCCTTCCAAAGGAAAAGAAAGAAGCACAATAAACCAGGGCAGCAATGAATTCTAATATTGCTTTCCTTCATGTTGAAGCAACTATAATGGACAATGTCTAGGTCAAATTGATGCATGGCCGCACATGCAACATGCATATGAGGAAAGTAAACAAAACAATACATCACCACCTTCAAACAAAATATCTTGTCAAATATTTATTCAGACTAGTATATTTGAATAAACGTCATATAGCTATACATAAATCAACAGCCCAGATAAAATCTAAAGCAAGCAAGATATAATACATGTCACATGCTGACTTGCCTCAGAGCTTGAAGCCTGCACAATCCCTGCATTAGGTGAAGAACCATGCCCTTGCAGAAAACGTCTAAATAGAGTCTTTGTGTTTTTGTCTTAAATATGTATTTGAATATAAAAAATTCAGAAGGACTGCACCAATGACATGATTATATTCTTCCTAGACACTCCGCCTACATGCCACACCAATTTTTTTCCAACAATATTTGCTTACGCCTGAAGGCCAGCTAGCCGGAACTCTAGATCAATGGTCTTTATAACTAATCATAGCTTTACTGTCTTTTTAAAAAATACTCTCAACAAGGTGATAAACATGTTTGACTCTTAACGTGGAAGGCAGCTTTGCCGATTCAAATGGCATTTCACAAGCAATTACTATATTACTTGTGTGTGCTAATACGGATTGAAACGGATTTTGGATACTAAGCTAATAACGCCTTTCAACAAATTTTTCTCCATAAGATTAAAGTAAATCTGCGGGTTTGTTATTTGAACTTGCATTTGAAATGTTGTTCTCCACTTATGTTGGTCAAGTGTTTGAAATTGGCTTCAAGAGCAATGTTGTCAAATGGCAGCCATGGCAGTGACAAGGCAGAATGGCATGAAGGATATTGTTCCAGCCAGCAATGATTTTTTTTAGTCTATAGTGACACTATATGGCATAACTATGGCCATTTGTCGTTGTCCAATATTAATACTCCGTACTAGTTTAGAAGCAAGCATTCAAGGATTATTCATTCAACTGTTAAAGCATGCTAATTGGCCATATTTGGCTTATTGTATTTAAGTCATTCATTAATAATTAGTTAAAGTCACTAAATCCCAAATTATTTTAACCTAAAGCCTGTTATAACTAAATAACTATCAGCTCTTTTTCTCACACCATGTAGCACTTGACACAACACAACAGCCATGACATTGGTAGCTCCTGTTTTCATTCTTCACGTATTTGACTAGTGCAGATACAACAGCATTAGCAGCCTCTCTCTCTCTAAGCTTTACTGCTTTAATCACTGTCAGCATTCTTATTTTTCTTCAGACAGCCCTATTTTGCCCGCTTATTGTTTTTCAAAATTCTTGCCAGCTCTTCAAAATGGTAAAGAGTTCAAAAAGGCGTTGCTAACACACTGTTAAATGTAGTGAAGCAGGACGAGAGTTGGTAAAAGTAGAAGGAACCTGCTTACAGTTGGAATTGGAGTAGAAATTGCACATGGACCTATAAGTAATGATGATATAAAAACAAGCTTGAGGCCTTGAGCATGTGTTGTTTTATTTTAGCCTAAGCCCTCTCAATGTTTTTTAACATTAGATACTTCGCACTAGAGCAGGAGGTGTTTTACTTGTGCGCTTAATTTAAATTTTGGTTGTGGTTTACAATTTATGAGAGTATAATATTGTGTATAGTATTGGGAGTGGCCTCTTGTCAAATTTGACAGGGGAAGGCTTGCCCCTTATACACCCTTGTGGTGGGACCCTTCCCCTGACCCTTGCCTTGCGGGGAGGCCTTTGTACACTGTGCTGCCCCTCTTTGTGTGTGTTCATAATTGATACCCCTCATCATTAACATTTAAGGGACATAAAGTTTGAGACTTGTGCCTCTAATCACCTTGACAGTTACATACATCTCACCTCACATACAGAGAGTAGTACTTTAATCCTTTGACCTGACTTTTTAAACATTGAGAGGAATTAGTTAGGAAAACATAGTCTGGAAAACCATAAATTCATTTCTTTTCAAAAACGGAAAAAAATTGCATCAGGACTTAAATTATTGGATAAGTTAGATATAAAACAACTTAGATAGATAGAGCAAGCCACTACTTATTTATGGGGATACAGATAAAGAGAATGAGGGAACCATGGGTAGTGATCACTTTGTACAACCAATAGAGGTTAAGAGTTCAATCCATAACTGTTATGAATCCATATGTAATTGGCCCGTGAAAATTAATAGAGCTTTATCAGTTTTGCATTAGGAATTACTATATGAGAGCTACATGTTTCTGATATGTGAGCTAGGCTAACCACCATGTTTTAAGATCTGAAGATCACTATAACCATGCATACATCTACAGGTACATGCATCAGGGCTAAAACTCTTATGCGTTGAAAACGGGACCACATAGATTTAAAGAATATTGGATCCCCCAACATTTTGAGATCCACTTTGTTTCCTAAACTATAACATATTAATAATTGGGGGATAGGTTCTGATGGGAAAAACAACTGCATAATAGTCTCTTTTCTGCACTCATTCTGTATTGTACAGAAGAAATGAAAGCTATAAATACAAAAGGGAAATTCAATTAATGGGATAGGATGGCCTGGTAGATTACCAAAATTTTTGCCAACAATGCAATGCCAGGTCGGGCCATGGTTTTTGTCGAACTCCTTTTTAATATGCTCAGCTACATCTTTCTCCACGGTGTGCAGTTCGAACGCCTATAGATTCACTCATATGCACATATAGACGTAAGAATAATAAATAACCAAAGAGTGTAAGAAAACAATAATGGGCTAGAGAAACAGCTAATTACTGCAATAGCGATATTGACGGCCTCTTTCTGCATATCTTCCTTCATATCAGCACTTTTGATTATGAGCTTCTTACCCTTGGAAAGGGGGGCTGCAGGAGGTGAAACAGATTCGCGGTCGGCGGCGGGCGGCCTCGCCACAAGAGCTCCGCCATCTTTACTCTTGGAAACCTCGCTCATTTTGTAGAGCAAAAGCAAGCAGATCTCGGAGACAGAGATGCGGAGGAGCCGCGGAGGTGTGGTGGCGGTGTGTGGATTGGTTTAAATTTTAAGGCCGTAGGGGCCGCCGGGCAGGGCGTGATCGTAGTAAGCTACCTGAATAAACCTGAGCATTGGGGACTGTTTTCCATTGCCACTAGGAAAGCTAAAGTGGTTATATGGAATGGAAGAGAAAAGGTAAAAAAGAATTTGAGTATTAGGATTAAGATGTTTTCATTTAGGTTGAAATTTGTTTTGATGTGATCTGGTAAATGTCTATTTTCTGTGTATTTTATGACTATAGAAGTCTGGTCTAATCTAATCTGATCTGGTCTGATCTAGAACTGAAAATAATTCAAAAATAACATCTTAATTCCTCCTTTCTAATACTACCTCCGTTCTCTTTTAGTTGCAACGTGGGACTTTTTTCACTATTCACATATTCTACTTTGACTACATTTTATTTATTAATATATTATCAATTAAATTTTTAAAAAATATTTTTAAATTTCTCTCATAATAAATTTTCAAAAACTGATTTTTTTGATTTTTTTACTAATAAGGAATGAAAGATATTAACGGTCAAACTTCTGCGTTGGCAAGCGTGAAAAGTTGACTGTTGCAATTAAAAAAGAACGGAGGAAGTACGAGTTTTTTCTTATTATAATGCTAGACAAAAAAATACTACGTATTTACTAAAATAGTGTAAGTTTAAAAATATCAAAAATGTTATAATCACCCCAATTACTACCCCACTTTGTACCCCATATAAAAATCTTCCCAAATTTTACCCCCACCTCCCTTTTCCTAACCCTAACTCTCCCCTCCTCTATCCTTCTTTTCTCTTTTCTCTATGCCATACTCCTCTTATTTCCCATCTTCTTGTCTTTTTTTTTTGTTTCTTCCTATTCTATAAAATTGATAATGGTGGGAGGAAACATAGCCATATCAAGTAGAGCGTCTCTCGTCTTCAGCTACTCCCTCTTCCATCGTATTTCTCGAGTATCATCCTCACACATTCAAAATCACATACCTCTTTGTTGTATGAATAAGGTTTAGGTGAACCTTCTGTGCCAAGCGTGAGAAGCTGTTGCCCTTTCCCAATTTGTTTCGCCTCTAGTGAAGCTTTTGGACAATGCTTTTGAAGGTGTCTCAATAGGGCTGAAGTACCATTTCCATCTGGTGATGCCTTGAGCCTTTTTTTGCAATAGTTACAAGTTGCCGCCTCGAGTATATCTTTATCTCCCACTTTTTTTGTTATTTTCACCATATGACCCCAAACCTCCGAGCCTTTTCTCTTTTTCTCTGAAGATGGTAGGCTTTCATCACTGCCACCATTAGAGCCAGAAGGTAAACCTTGCGTAGACATCTAAAAAAACATACAAACATAAGGGAAATAAGTTAATAAATAAAAATTCTCACTGCAACTTCTAAGATTATGGAAGTTAACCTTGAAAAATTGAAATAATAAAATAATTATTAAGGCTATCAGTCTATCACAATCCAGTGATAACATGAACTATTAACTACTAATTACAGTTCTGTAAAAGAAGCAAAGTGATTCAAGTTTCCCAATTTGAGCAATATAAATTTATAACCAAATCGAGCATACAAATATTCAATAAATTGAACAAATTGAATCAGATAATGATTTATATAAAAATCAATTAGCAAAAACCTAAATAACAAAAAACTCCATATACAGTGAGTGATTCAAGTTACCCTGTCTACAATAGGCAAAACAATCTGAAAATAGTAAAGCAATTAAATGGTACTCTGTAAATAAGTGAAGGACGGTTTTCATACTTTAGAAACAAGACAAAGAAACTGCTGCTTTGCAATTTGGTGAGGAGAAACTGCTGCTTTGCCGCTAAACCGTATGTCGTATGCTCTGATTAGTGACTGATGAGTATACGATAGTATTATAGTATATATACTATGGATATGGAGTATAAATACATTAGTTATAGAATTCTACTAGGGTTGGCAAGGCAATGAACTGTGGGCCTGAGGCAGCTAATTAATACGGAGTATAATTATTACTCTGTAATTGCAAAGTAGTATACTCTGTATAAGGTATGAATGGTATGATGTATCAATTCCATATGTATCATATATAAAAATATTTTTTTTTTCATATTTAAATCGGGTTTTTTTCGGTCCGGGTCGGGTTTATAATTTTAGAACCCGGTTAAAGACCCGAATTTTCGGGCTCGGGTCGGGTTTTTTACCCGGACCGGTGATTTCTAAATTTAAACCCGGACCGATGTCATTTATCGGGTTGGGTCGGTCCGGTTTTCGGGTTTCGGGTCGGTTTTTCCCAGCCCTAAGAATATGTACCTCATTATTTGAGAAGAGATGGTTACCTTAGAGACAACTAAATGGGAAGCTCTTGAAAACTTCAAAAATGGAGATTATAGAGCTCTTAAAATGGAAAGAGGAGAAAATAATAGGGAATGAGGTGGGAGAATTGAAAGGGGCGGCCAAAAGATAGAAATGGGGATGTGGGATGAGAGATGTTTGGAAGGGGTAAAAAATGGTAAAAATGAGGAGGCTTGTATATGGGGTACAGATGTGGTACTAATTGGGGTGACTATAGCATTTTTGTAAAAATATTTCCCAAATTGATGCTAGAACTAACTCCAGTTAAAGATCCGTCAACTGTACGGGCGACTTAGGATGTTTTTACTTGGACTGTAATTTGCCCCAGATCAGACTAGACCAGTCCAGACCAGACCAGTTCAGACCAGACCAGACCAGACCAGACTTGGATAGTTATAAAAATACAAAGAAACCAGACCTTACCAGACCAGACCAGACCAGTTCAGACCAGACCAGACCAGATCAGACCAGACCAGACCAGCAAATTACAGTCCAAGTAAAAACATCCTTAGGCAAAATGGAAAAGCTACGGAGAATGTAGCAATGACGACGCAGAAGAGGAAAGAGGAAAAATAGTCTTGGGCCACACATAAAAAAAATCATTTGTTATTTTTGAAGTGCTAAACTTTTTTATATGTGCTCCGATTGTTATGATAAACATATCAAAATTTACAACTTTTTAATATTTTTCATATGACACTAATATAGCATATGTAAAAATAGTTTAAAAAAATTAGGCACTTAAAAACAACTTATGTTTTTCAAAATGTTATAACTTTTTAATTTGTAAATCCAATTGTTACGAATAATATATAAAAAACATTATAATTTTTTATTATCTTTCACATGACACCAATATTGCATATATAAAAATGAAAAGAACACGTTAACACTTTATAACTTTTTTATTTTCACTCTGTTCTTACAAAAATATATCCAAACTCATAATATTTTATTATCTTCCATATGACACCAACATTACATATATGAAAATAAAACGTAAAATCTATTAAAACCTATTAATCTGTTTAACAATATATCAGACTAGACTCAAACAAATCAGACTAAACAGACCAAACATTTAACATAAACTTACCAAACTTGGATAAATGTTTGGTCTGTTTGGTCTGATCAATTTAAATCTAGGCTAGTAGACGAATCAAACATTGGCTTTATAGGAGAAAAGATACTTACCACCATTTTCAAAGCTATCACTTTTATTTATTGTTTTACTCTTTGAGTTAGAATTTGTGCAGATTTGTTCTAAGCTATTACTCCAAATCATAAAAATTGAGTCTAAACTGCACAAATAAATAGTTTTTATTTTATTTTTATACATGTAATATAAGTATCATATGATAGATAATAAGAAGTTACAACTTACTATATAGTTCTAGTGGCAGTCAAAGTACAAATAAGAATGTTATAACTCAACAGTTAATCCAACAGTATTTTGGGAATTATTTTTAACCCAGCAGTATTTTGGGAATTATTTATTTAATTAGCATTATTTCGGGAAAAAACTCATTTTATTTATTATTGAGATATTTTATTTGTTCTTTAATTTAAATTACTTCAAATGTAAGACATTATAGATACATAAGGCCGCTAAGTTATTGAACCAATTTCTTTAGAAATGTTGTTCAGTCATTGAGTTACCTTATTATTCATTACATACAACTTCATTCGTCTCTTAAAAAATTGTTAAGTTTGTTCGGTATGTGAAATAATAAAGCAAAATTTGATTTATAGATGTATGTGCAGAAGAGAAAGAAATAACATGAGTAAGAAAAAGCGAAGGTGACAAATTTTTTGGGAGAGTAAAAAAAGAAAAGTTGACAAAATTGTAAGGCCAAAGGAATTATCAAAAATTGAAAATAATAATCTCATTTATCATCGAACCGCTGTTAGTAATCCTAACCATCGATTACTCCTAGCCGGTCCAACTTTAGGGAGTATTTTCTACAAAAAGTTCCTAACTGACTACAACTTGGTATAGCGGGTCAATTTGAAATGTAAAATAAGCATAAACTATAACTAATCATAATTATAGTTGATCTTTTTTTATTAATCCCAATTATGAATTATCAACTCTCAATTTTTGGAAGATATAGACATAATTTTATAAATTTCCAAACTAAATATTTTTAAACACGTAAGAATAATTACAAACAATCTGCAAATGTACCGAAGTTAAATAAGATACGAAGTATTTTTGTAGTCATTTTTTATTATTTATTTTCACTAAAATCTTCATTTTTGGTGGGATCGGTCCGGTCTGGGTCGGGTTTTTGCTAAACCCGGAAATTACCCGGAAGGTATCGGGTTATGAAAATTAGGGACCGGAACAAAGCCCATTATATTCGGTCCGAGTCGGGTTTTTGGTAGCCCGGGTTCGGATTGGACCGGTTAAAGCCCGGACGTTAAATATGTCATTGTTCTTTTATATTTTAACACTTACTTTCAAATAAAATTAATCAAAAATACAAACCGCAAATAATAACACAAATATTAGTCTCCAAAATTACCAACAATTCAAATTTAAAGAAGATAATTATCTTAGTATTTTATGTAAGATGTATATATATAAATAAATTTTATAATTTAAGAAGTTTCTTAAAAATATTACGAAATAAATTTTATAAATCAAAAAGTTACTAGAGTTGCTATAAATATATTCTCATGGTCATCATTACGCTAAACAAATTCAACATATTTGTAGTCACTAAAAGTTACTAAATCTTTTTTTTATCCTCCGTGATTATAATCATATATTAAGAAATATTTTATTTATATTCATATAGTATATTAATTTTATATTAAAACTAATTGT